AGATTATATATAAATATATATAATATATACATAGCCAGGCAGACTATGTGATATGTATAAAACTACACTGTCTATTTTGAAAGGGCTAAGAGTCCAGAGTGATTAAAGCATAAGGATAGTATAGTGGACTAGGGGAGACACGATGTATGCAAAACAGACACAATTTAAAAAATTTCCATGTAAAGGAAAATGAAATAAACATTTGTAGATAACTTTAAAAGAAAAGCATTTTTTAAAATATATTCTTGCTTTTGTTCTGGGAAACTTACTTTGCAGATGCAATTAAACTAGAATTTAAAAGTATTCTCTGGTGGTATTAGAATAACATATTTCCCATAGTAGCGATTCACCATTACCTTTGTAGTTAACCTTGAATCCAACAGATCCCACACTTTCGTCTGTTTGAAGATGCAGCCACATTTGGCTACTCATGCTCACTATCAGGTCTGGCACAAAGCTTCCAGTGAGACTAAAAAGAGAGGGGCAAAGAAGGGAGAGATGGGTTATTACAACACCCTCTGCGGGCAAACTATGAGAAAGACACGTTTCTCAATACATTCTCCGCTAGAAAAAAGCAACTGTCAGATAAACTTACAACACTATGCAGTGATGTAACAGGACAAACGCCATTTAGTGATCAAGGTTTGTTATAAACAAGTAACATTTTATGTGTTTAACTAGGGTAGATCTTTCATATTCCTGAGGCAACAGTAAATTTTAGACCTTCCGAGAATTGTATACTTCTATAAAAGTCTTCAAGCTTAAAATAAACACACCAGGGATACACTTCACTTTAACCTTTCAAGTTTCACACAACTCTGTTCTAAAGAAATATTGTAAAAATATTTAATCACTCTGTAAGACAATAAAATGTCAAGGACTATCATATAACCCTCGGCAATACCGATATTAGGCTAGCTGTTTCGTGTATGTTTTAATGCAAATATTTCTATTTAAAATATATTGCTAATTTCATATGACATCATTAAATCTATGCATTAATGCCATTCAGTAATGCTCAATTTTATAACCCTCTCAAGGAAAATTACTTCATGTTTCTTTATCATTCATAAGGTTGCAGTCACATATTTGAAACAAAGCCAAAGGTCATCTAAAGGGGACACATTCATAAGTAAATGAGGTCTTGGGGGGAAACAGCTATCAAGAATAGAAAGAGGGGGAAAAATGGATTCACTGCTGAGTAAAATATCCATAGTGGTTGGGAATTCTAAATCACACATTAACAATATAGTGTTTTCTTTTCAAAAGAAGAAATTACTCTAAGAGCCTACCTATTTTGTTGCTATAAAGAGAGACTTGCTGGAAATTACATTAGCATAAAGTTACCCTTCATGATGAAAAAGGTGCCTGCCCTAAGCAGGAAGCTCTTGGATGGAGGCTATACTGTAATTAGACCAGGAGAGGGCAGCATGGAGGAACACAGCCCTGAGGTGACCATTGCAGAACATGCCAGCCATCAAAACTGTAAGATATCATCAGTGGACTGCATGCGCAATACAGCTGCGTCCCCAGTATCCAATGTCTCAGAATTTATGGGAATCTATCACAAAGAAACCCAGTTAAACATCATGATTTAATGATGGAATTATCCATGATAGTGAGGAACACTTAAAAGTATGATATCAAGATCCTAAAGATACCATAAAATATGTAGATTATATTTAATTTTTACTTGCCAAATTTAAAGTATTATAATATAAAAGAGACACATAACTCCCCTTTGTAATTATA